ATATATATAAATAATTTTAAATAAAAAGTAAAATAAAAATAATAATTTAAATATAATTTAATAGATACTAATACAAAGTTAAAGTTAATATAGTTTAGAAATTAAAAATAAAAAAATTAGAAAAATGTTAGAAAACCTACAGGCCGATCCACAACCCATGGGCCTCAACCTGGCTCACCCTTAGACGGGTCGTGGGCCGGACCGGGTCCAATCCTGGACATGAGATCAAAGATATAGGCCTGATATATATAAATAATTGTAAATAAAAAGTAAAATAAAAATAATAATTTAAATATAATTTAATAGATACTAATACAAAGTTAAAGTTAATATAGTTTAGAAATTAAAAATAAAAAAATTAGAAAAATGTTAGAAAACCTACAGGCCGATCCACAACCCATGGGCCTCAACCTGGCTCACCCTTAGACGGGTCGTGGGCCGGACCGGGTCCAATCCTGGACATGAGATCAAAGATATAGGCCTGACCCACTCTGATCCCGATAGGCCCGAGTCGAACTCAACCCAACCTTGAACTCGGGGGCGGATGACAGGGCTGAACCAGCCCGGCCTATGCCCACGGCCCACCCCTAGCTGCCAGGGAGGAATGAAGAGACAAATATCCATACACATCAATGATCACTGGCATTTAAGGAGACCAAAAGGCTCGGATTTGATTTGAACAACACAATAAACAAAGACTTTCCAAACAATCACTCACGTGACACAAATAATTAGAGAGCTTTTGGTAAGTGGAGTGTTTCTTTTATTTCCGTTTCTTTTTTTCAAAAAATCAGTCCACTACGTTTGGGAACCGAAGCGTTTTTTTTGAGCTGGCCATATACAAAAAGAAAAAATCTAACGCTTATCTCAAAACACCTAAAAGGTGTTTTGAGATTCCCGTGGCTTTTATTTCTCCCCCAAATCCATCCCGATGCCTCTCTCTTCCTCTACCCTTAAACAACATCGCCGCCCCTCCTTCGTTGCCAGCCACCGAGCCCGTCATCGTCCAGCCTCCGACTCGGAGATCGGCCGTCGCCGGACACAGTCACCCAGCCTGCCGACCATGCGATCGCCGCCTCCGACCGTCGTCCCAGCTCGAAATCTCCGCCCCCTACGCAGTCGAAATCACCCGCCCCTTACCAAGTCGATGCTCGCCCTCGACCATCATAATGCCACCCACCCCGACCCTATCGCCAGGCCACCGACCAGTCGTCGAAGCTGTCTTCGCGTCGCTAGGGTCTCCGTGTCGTCGCCGCTGCCGCCTCCTCGTCGCTGCTCCGGTCGCTTCCGTCACCTCTGATTCCTCCTCCAATTTCGATCAAGGTATATTGATCTCCAATTTTTCTTAAGATTGAGATTTCATAAACTGCTCGTTTGAAATATCATAAGCCCCTTAGTTTGATTGTGAGAATAATATGATATCTTGAAAATAAACTGCTTGTTTGAAAATAAACTGCTTGTTTGATTGTGAGAATAATATGATATCATAAACTTCTTGTTTGAAATGGTGTTTTGAAAATACGTTTGAAAAATAAACACCATGACATTGTGTTTTCTAAAAAAACACAACAAAAAGAAACACTTTGATTACCAAACACTCTTGCTGCTATAAATAAGGAGCACACGCTGATTTCAAATCAGAACTAAAATGGCTTCCCCATAAAATCCCCACCCAACAACATATGCATGTGACAGTGATACTAACAACCTGGATATATTTCTTGTAATAATTGAAGCAGCCATCTTTGACTGTTACAATATTGACATGTAAACTGAACTCAACTGTCATACAAGGGATTCATCAGAGGTTAGATAAGTAATAAAAAAAATTATCATCTATGGATACATGATCAAAAAAATATGTGCAACACGTGGAATGG